CGTATCCCCATCAGGTTCACGGCCCGGGCCTTCAGTCCGATGCCGAGCGTGGTCCCGTCTGTCATGGTGCTGGGGGGATCACAGCGGTTTGCCCCAGCTGGGTTGCGCTGCAGCATTGCTCGTTGTCCTCATGGACATGCTGAGGCTATTTTGAAAGTTTTGAGCTTGTTTTTAAAACCTGTGTTGCATGTTTCTTTACAAAATATTAGTACATGCTCAACCATGGAGCAGTAATTTCTAAATTCACTGTGGCAAGTTGGCCAACAGCCTCCAGCACTGGCACAGGTGGCTCCAGGAGACACTTGTCTCCTGCCTAAATCAAACCTCTGTCAGGGTGAGATCTGACAAAAACAGTTATTCTTGTCTTGGGGCTTGGAAATGTAGGTATGCGTTTGGGGTTCCTTCTCATTTTTATATAAAGAGATGGCAGTGGTGGTTTTCTGGAGGAGAAGGAGGTAGGTTGGAAAGCATTGCCCCAAAACAGCGCGGAAAGCGCTTATGTTGATGTGGATTAGTGAAGAAACGGGAGGTGACACCAGTGGAGAAAAGCAGCTCAACTGCAGTCAAATGACTTTGGTCTGGCACACTTCACATTGAACATTTTGGCATGCAGCAGTAATTAGCATATATTAATGAGCAATTAGCATCTGGTAATAATCATTCATATGTCACTGACACTTGGATTCATGGTCCCCAACCTATGCATTGAGCCTGAGTTAATAACAATAATTGATGGTACATATATATAGCTCTTCGAAGATTGTTCTCTCCTGAGATTGTTTAAAGCCAGAGAGCAAAGGAATGAGTAAGGAAGTTTCTGAGAGCAAAGAAGATAACGCTGTGCTTTTCTAGTCTAGATTTCTTCCTGTCAGTGGGAAACGTTCTGTTGATGCCAGTAGAGGGCCACACTAAATTAAATATTAGTGCTGATCAAAGCCTGGGAGAAGAAGCCTTTGTGGAAATCGATTTCTGTCATTTGTTAATTTTTTTATCAGCTTGAGACAAAGTTTGATTTCTTGGAGGCTTACAACAGGCAAAAGTATTGTCTGCTTAAAAAAATGTGTGCTAGTTTTTAAACCTCAAAACAGTCCTCATGACAGAGCACTGTTTTCCTAACCTGGGGACCCTTTTTTTAGATGTCTCAATGACATTATTCTCCTTGTAACGCACCTAGATAGGAGACAAGATTTGCTCCTTGTGCTCCTTGTTCCCCATTGCTTCTTGTGACAAAGTTGGAGGCTTCGGCTTTGGTTGTGCCACCATTCACAAGACCAGGAGAAGGTGTTTGCTATATGACTGTCGGTAGGGAAACTCAGTGGAACAAACACACCAGCCCATCTCTGTTTTTCCAGAATGTAAGGACTGTGAGGCTGGGAAAGGTAAGGTCTGCCAAAACATTTCCAAGCTCCTGCGTTCCAGTCACAGACAGAGGCAGGGTTTTGAAAGCTGAAGGATGGGAGCCCATGGGGAGCAGCACCAGCATTACTGCTACATGCACTGCAGCACTGCCCTTGGGGTGTGATACAGGGGTGTACACGGCATACAGCACATCGCCTAGCCCTGAAACTGGCAGCATGAGCTATGTGGGCCCCAAATAGCAAACATAAATTGCAAAGTAGATCCAAGCATGCAAACTACAGTTAAAATTCTTTAAGATTCTTTCTCCTTCTGCTATGGGACCAGACTGCTCACATGTCACGTTCAGAGGGTAATTTAACTTGCCCCAGCTGCAGGGGAAATGATAGTCATTCCCTTTGGTGCTTGTTATCGTTTTCTCCAGGCTGAGGTTAGCTGGACATCAGGGCTTGGTGCAGGATGTGCCTCTCCTGTGCTCTAAAGAGCCATCGATTATGAAGACAATGAAGATAAGAACCAAACCCTGGAGGCAGGAGAAGGCCAGAACAAACAGTTAGGGATAGAGGTCAGAGCACAATTTGGGCAGGAAAGCTCAAAAATAAAGTGGGGGTTGGACCAAGTAAGCAGCCTGGGGGTAGTTGTCTGTGAATGTCCACATGAGAAAGATGAACCCTGGAGTCTGAATGGCAGGAAGAAGAGAGATGGATCTAGAAAGGATCTAGGAGAGGTGAGGAGAGGTTCTCTCAAAAGGAATGGGGCAAGGGAACAAGGGTGTTGCAAATGCTGAGATTGGAGGAGAAGCTCAGGGGGAGAAGGCCAGACTGGGGTAGGGAAGGAAACATGGGAGCCAGTCTGGATAAAACAGGGATAGGCCTGAAACAGAGGAAGAAATCAGGATTGTGTTGATAAGCTGCGTGCAGGAAGGGAGAGGTGATTAGATGAGTCCAGGTAGCCACAGGCACATGGCCACTTCGGGTGTCTAAGGATGTCCTCTCTGGCTTCCATCTCCTTCTTCAAAAGGACACAGATTTTTTACAGACCATAAGTGATTTCCACTAGTCCTTCAAGGATAACCTTTAGTGCATCTAAAATAAAGTGGCACTAGATATATGGATCTTTTCAGAGATCACTCTGAAATCACTCAACACTCAGAACTTCAAATCCTCCAGTCTCACTGTTCTTTGGTATCACAAATTTCTATTAAATTAACTGATAATATGTCCCATCTCCTTCTAGTGTTGCTCTTTACAGGAATAATAAGATGCAGAGGTAAATCTTTGGTCAATTACTCTGTGAGTTCAAACAGCAAAACCCTCTGTTGGATTTGAAAGTTCCTTCCAATGCAATCAAGCTGGTGGTACTAATATTCTATCACATGAAGAAATAACATAGTTTTTTTTTTTATAAATGACAACTGGAAACATATGCAGAAATGCAGAAGAGCTTGCCTAATATTCCAAATCAAAAGTTGGAAAAAGGCAGGATTATGATTATCTGTGCAATCTTAAATCACCTCTTCTGTATTTTTTTGTTCTGGTATATTCTTTAATTACATAATCATTTACCCTTCTTTTCCATAGGTTTCCTTGCTCTTTTGTTATTAATTGGTATTAATTCTACAGAGAGTAATCTGGAAAGAGAAGTTAAGATAAAAGACCAGCACCTCATTTTTCAAAGTAGACTTCCCAAGAATTTTGGCTGCAGCAGCTCTGCAGATCAGGCCTCACTCAGTGGGAGCAACATTGAGTTGCTCCTCATCTATAAAATGTTTTAAGCATCTGACATGGCATCCCCCAAAATCTGTGAAAGAAGCAGAGGTAGTCTCCAGCCCTTCTGGATAGCATTGATCAACTTAATCCTCAGATCATCCTTTCTTTCCAATGACTCTGTCCTACTTGCACTATTTTTTGACCCATAAAATTAACTGGGTCCTGTCCTTGTGAATGACATCTAATTTCATCTGAAAACGCTGACTTTTCACCAAGTGCATACAACCTCCAGCTTTTCCAACAGATTAGCTGGAAGATTCCCATCAGCCTGATCCTTCCTTACATTGCCTCATGCCCCTAAATAAAGCAGGATCCTACTGAGGTTGTAAATCAAGTTGCAGGGACAAGTTTTATTTTGGCACATCCCATTGAGTACCTTATTTTACATCTATAATATTTTTTAAAAATATTTTTGTGTGCATGTGTGGGTATAAAATTGGCAAGATTATATGATTTTTAAAAGTGTACTCTCTGACACAACTGACCCGCTCTCTGGGACTATACTATTTCACCATCTTATCTAGCCATAGTTTATTCATTTTCTATATGTATAAACCATGCCACAAAATACAGAATGAAAGTTGCTATATAGTTAATATTTCTAATGAACTAGTTTCACCATTTATCTTCGGAACAAGTGTTTGCCATGGCAGAGAGCTCTGTTAGCATGTTGTCCATTTGGGGAACGGGTGTGTGTTGTGTTGGGCAAACTGTAGGGCACTGAGGGTGAGAACAGCACATGGAGGCAGCTGTTGGGCCATAAGGAATGGTTAGGACAAGTGGGAAGCAGCAGGCAGTTTGGAAAGGGGTGCAGACCTTGATTTTGTTCAAAATTCATATTGGATGAAAGCAAGAGGGCGTGAATGGCTGGCTGGAGAAGGGTTGGCGAGAGAACCAGAGGGTCCATGCAGGAAAGCAAGAGCCCTGTGGGAGGGAATGGGATAGCAGGAAATTACGTGCTTAATTGAAAAGAAAACAATATAGGGTCTGACAACAAATGATCTAGCTTTGGCGGGCTGGACTTCTTAGGGTGGCACCGAGGGAACTGGGAAAACCAGCTGTGCCTTAGAGTCTCTTGCCATTTCACAGTCAGGTCCATCTGCCAGGCAACTTCCCACCCCGCAGCTGCTCTTTGGGGCCCCGTTTTGTGGGAACTTTCTTCCCAGGTTCAGTGATGTTGCTCAACAGCCATCAGGCTCTTCCAAGAAGAACCTCAAGCTGGAAAAGCAGCAAGTCTTGGCTCTCCTCATACCTCCCGTGCTGAACAAGGCTCGGCTGAGCAGGACAGACAGGAACTGCTGTGTCATTTTGTTAATGGCTGAGGTGCCTGAGCATATTTTGAACTCAACTGCAGCCTAAGTGGTCATCTAAAAACATCACAGCCGGCACCGTTCTCTTTCTCCTTGCCTGGCTGCAAATAGCAGCAGGCTGTTCACAAAGCCAGCTGCGTTTCCCTTTAAATGCCCAAACTTTGCTCAGCAACACAAGCACACAAGCACACAAGCAACACGGGCGATGGAGGCAGTGGCCCCGGCGCACCAGGCCCGTCGCCATGGCAACCCGGAGCCTCTCCGCTGGTGAACTCTTGCTGTCCATCAAGAAGCATTAACTTTTACACTATGCCTCTTTTATGTCAGTTTCTGCATGTTTGGGCTTCCTCCCTGCCAGGGGCTGGGCTGCTCTGGTGAAACGTCCCTTCTCAGGAAGCGGGAAATGGCATTTCTTTCAATTTCTGCAGACACAGCAAAGCTACAGGGAGGGTTCCTGATGTCTGGGGGTAGGTGACTGGATGTTGTCATCTCTGTATCAGTCAGAAACAGCCCAGAATAAGTCTACGTTAAAAGTCAGAGAGCAAGTACTTTAGAAGATTTACCACACTTGTGCTGAATTCCATCTTACTTTTGTTGGTGGTAAGAGAGAAGGAGGCCTATGGAGCACCATGAAATAACAGCAGCACAGAGGGACACATGGCCAAACCATGTCGGAGTTCG